CCCGGTCGGATTCCGGTGGGCAAACACAGGTTTTGGGGAAACGGGCTGGCATTCATTTCTTTCGTATATTGGGTGCAAATGAACGCCGTTTTCTGTGGATCCCAGGCCCTAGAAAAGCCCCCCAAGTCCCCCAAGAAAAGACTCAGAAGCCTTGATGTTGACTTGAGTCCGGCGTCCCTCAAAGCTGGATTGGACAGGTTCCCCTGGTGAGTGCAACAAAACACCGCAGAGCCAAGCAACACACCAACACGGCCTGCTGCCTTTGCGTGTGCTTGTCCTGCTGCGTAGTTGATGCCATGTTGACGGAAGCTCTTCCGTGGGGGCATCTTAACTAGCTTTCGTCCCAGGCCCTCACCCCCAAGTCGGGGTTTGCGGGCCTTAATGTGCTTTACAGGACGTTTAGCCGGCTCTGGGGCATCTCACTAGGAGATGTTTAATAAAGGGATTTGGGATTGAGGGCTTCAGGTGCAAGCTTGTCAAACCCGAAATAAAGCACCCACATGCGTTCGGCACGTCTGACGGCTTTGAGCTGCGTACAGGGCACAGGAGCAAGAAGAGCAGCTGTGGTTGTAGTATGTTGAGCAGTGCTTTCGGCTGGGCTCATGTCGGACAAAGGTCGTTAATGAATTTAATGACCATTTGTCACTTCGCATAAGCCCCCTCCGGAAGCGTGGTCGCCCTCAGGAAGCGGCTGCTCCGCGGACCAACCCTTTCTCCCCCAGATTGCACCTTGGCTTGTGAGCGGATGGCAGCACAAGTCCTGGGCATCTGTATGCATCTAGCATACCCAAAGCCTGGACCACATGGCTTCCTTGGCTTGAATTGAGGCTGGTCACAGAGGGAGCCTGGGGTCTGCAGCCGCCCCTGGCATGGACGCTTCTGCTGTGTTAATGTGTCAGTGCATGAAATGACTTTATTTATTTGACGGGTTGAAGACCGCCGTTTGAGAATCTGATTGCCAGAGTTAAAAAGAAGGGGAACGACTTCGGCCGAGGCGTGGACGTGCTCCGGCAGGACAAGCAGCACCGCTGGGCTTCCGAACCTCCAACCTCCGCAGCTCTGGGCTCGCACGGAGAGGTGCCGGTGCGGCGGCTACTGCTCTCTGGATCTCTACCGAGGCTCCAACGGCTTGGGGGCTAGGGTGGGATGGAGTGGCATGCGCCCAAAACAGCAAGCTTGTTGTTACCGGTACGAGAGAGCTCCCAAAAGCTTTCGGCTTTCGTTTTGAGACTCTGCGTTGCTGATCCGCTTGGGGGGATTGGAGGGATGAGCCTATGTGAACCTTTCAGTTTCGGTGCCATCCTGGGGCGTGCTTGATACTCATATTTGATGCTGATTGATTTGTGCGCAAGGGGGGGTCGGAAGGACTTGACTTGGCTTGCAAATGGGGGTCCGGAGGCATTCTCCCTGGCGTGTGGAGGCCTTGCATGTTCAGACACTCCCAAATGGCCAAGCACTATATCGGTTGGGGGTCGCTCCCCACGGTGGAAGCCACGATCGTGGTAAGCGCCAGCATCGTGCCGATCAGCTTGCCAAGCTCGCGCAACCGTTTTGG